CCTAAATAGTTTAATAATTATGAAATCCATTAAAACACCAAACCACCCCGCTAATCATTGAAGTATACTTTGACCTCTAGAAGTATGATTTCGCGAACTGTACAATTCTTGGTGATTTTTCGTACATAAGCTATCTATGTTTATTTATTTATCTATGGTTAAAGACAAAGTTGACAATTAAATTTTCTGACATTAACATACCTTACACATAGCAGTCGTTGCGAAATATCTAAATTCAATTTAACTCTTAAACATTATTTACCAAAGATTCACATACTCACATATTCACACGATACTCAGTCATTTTTAAATCGTCATGTTAAACACTCTATACTAGATGAACAGTATTTAGTATTTATATATCATACTAACAATCTAGATAGTTTGTATGTATATTAAATCAACTTTTATGTTTTTACAAGAATCATGAACCATTCATACTATATTACAGTATTATCCACAAAGGATGAGACTTAAGAAACAACAGTCAGAATTTGTTGGGTCTTCGTTTATTTAATTGAATGTTCCCCGCAGTTTTATACTTATTTTTTCTATCCTAGATCATTAAATACACCATTCACGAACTAATTTCAAGATAGAAAAGCCAACTTAAACCTTCAGATCTTCACAGTCAACCCTATCAAGGCTGGGCTGTATTTGTCTAATATGGGCATATCATTTTGCCCTTACGAGTTGAGATTCATTTTCGCGAATTTCGTTCAACGAAAATTTCGTTGGTAACCCTACTACTGGCCTTACCCACATCACGCCGCGGAATTTTTTTTATCCGAACCCACATCACGCCGCGGAAATTATATTTTTCCCAACCTCTAGATAACGCTGCGGAAATTTTAAAGCTTCTAAAATCTAAAATTTAAAGTTCGTTCATGTTTCCCTTTCCTGCAGCGGCAAACAACAAAAAATTATACAGGGTTGCCCACAAAGGATGAGACTGTGAAGACGACTGGAAACTCTTCAGATTTAACGATTCCAAGGTTACATTAAGCCTACTGCATTGAAATCAGTCTTTTATGGCTAAATTAATTATTGATTTGGAAAGGAAAGAAAAAAGTTACAGTTTCAGGGAATTATAAATATGATGTGACAGACAGTGCTAATTCTGTACAGTCGTCTCTGAAGTCTCATCCTTTGTGGGTGACCCTGTACTATACTTTTTCTGCAGAAATACTGAAACACAAACTTTACGACAACAGATATAGTAAATTTTGAATCCATTAAAAACATCGGTCAATTTTATTAAAACATGTTGTCCTGAACAACTTTTAGATACATACATAAATAGCTGTTTTTGCTGCAGATAATTTTATATAACTCAAATGTTTTATAATTTTAGAATTTAGTTTTTTTCCAACAAGCTGGTCCAGAATTAAAAATGGCTGTTCACTTACAATTGTAAAAAATCTTTAGTGTAAAGCTGATTATAATTCATTTCCTGAAGATATTAAAATGTAATTATGTGAAAGTTTTATTTCCATATTGCATCTATATAAATTAATTTGTAATCTCTGTTGGTCTTTTTGTTTATTTATCCAACCACAACTCATGAACTCCTTGACCGATTTGCATAACATTTTGATTTGGGAAAACTCGGAAGAACCATGGGAATGTTCTTAGTTTGGTCTTAAAACTCGGAAGAACCATGGGAATGTTCTTAGCTTATTATTGAGATTCTAAGGTAAGAACTTGAGTGGGTTCACTTTTATAGGGAAAAATAGCTAAAACCGTGGGTAAACGGCGGGTATAACTATGAGTACCCTGGGCAACGCTGGGTTCTTAAGCTAGTTTCTTACAAAAGACTAGCTGAAGTGACCGGCGTTGCCCGTGGAATTATTTTAAATCGAATTAAAAAAAATAGTTTTGAAGAAAAAATAATTTCGATTTTTTTAGCCTATGTTACCTCCGGGGTACTCAAGGGTTCCATCAACAAATTTCAGCTCATTCGGTCCAGCCGTTTGGCCATCTATAGCTAACAAATAAAAAAATATATATGAGCGAAGAGCTTTATTAAACGTTGTATATAGATCTTTTATATAGATCTGACACAGCAACAGGCACAATTTGATGGGCATTGTTTTGAGATTGAAGTTTTCCGCAGAGTGCTCGCTGGGTTTTGGTGGGTTTGAGGGTGGTTTGAGAATTGGGGGTCTGTTGTTGGGTGATTGTGGGGACTCTAGGTGGTTTCAGTGGTATCAGGGGGCTGATGGCGACACTGATTAAATATTCAAACTGTGTTAAATTAAATTTAGTTCAGTTTGAAAAACATCCGAAATACATAGATCTCACAAGGCAACAAGAAAAAATGGCAGATGCCTTCTACGTTTTAACATTACAATGTATTTCTGTAGCTTTCTCGGTCAAATAATTGCTTATAGAAATATTCCTTAAAAGCTCTAGGTTCGTTCCATGGTGGTTTTCTACGAAGAAATCAATTTCATTTGTAAAACTGTAAATCGACCATATTGCATGCGAAATGAACAACTTGAAAATCAACTTATTTAGTTGAATGGTCTGTGTACACTGCACATTGATGTACGGTTCATGATCATGGATTATTGAAAATTCAAAATTTGGTTGGACAGTCGTCTTCCTATTCCCCCGTTTTATAGATCTCACACTTGTATTCATTTTGTCTGTCTGTTTGTATGTTTCTGGTGAAGTGCTGAATACTGCTGTTTAGAGAGAGAGGGAGAAGAAAGAATAATAACTTAAATTTTACAACTTCAAGTTTCAAATATCTTCTTATACCTCTATACACAGTATATAGAGGATTCAAACCAGGTACAATTAATGAAGAGGGGGGGGGGGCTTGGGGGGTATATTTAACTCCCCCCTCCCCCTTTGGAATCATTTTCACTCATTATCAAAATCATATGTTCAGTAGTAAAAGGTTTTGATTGTAAGGATTTGATTTGAATTGTTTAATTATTTTCAAGTGATTGTAAATAATGATAAATAATGATAATAAATAATAGAGTGTCATGTCCAATTCACAACAGTATCCTTAAAATATTTGTCTGGTCAAGTTTGAATTATTATGTTTTTGTTTCTAAAGTCTGTGTATTTTTATTTTCATGTTCTCTGCAAAAGTTATTTTTGAATTTTTGCTTCAAAAATACTGGAGAAATGTAAAGAATTAAGCACTTTTAAAGTCAGAAAAACACCCATCTTGATCAGATTAAATTCGGGAATGTCAATCTTAATATCACAACAACAGTCTCTCTCACTGATGATAATTTCATCTTATCCCAATCCTACGTCGTTTTTAACTCCTTTTAAAGATTATATACAAACTAAAACGTTTAGAAGATGTAAAACAGTGTAAGCAATATAATTTGTTTTTTTTGTCCCACTTCCCGCATATGTGATTCATTTATGTGCGCGGTCGGAAACCATTAAATTTTCCTACCATACAGAGATGCGAACTAACCCCCCCCCCACTCCTCACTCCCCACCCCCTAGTGGTATCTTCTCCTATGGTGGGGGGTGATCCTCCCGTCCCATTTCCCCGGACCCCTGACAATCTGAACTCGACAGAAAAGACATATTTGAATCGTAAATTAAAACTGTGGATTTAGTTCAAAGAAGAGACGGCACCTTCAATAAGAAACATTGATACTTCAAAACTTCAAACCCGGATGTTATGAAAACTGTAAAAATAAGAGAGAGACAAATAAAGACTTTCTCAATCTTAGAGATTTATCGTTGATCAGAACCTCTGAATAGCTTTAGAATGAGCTTGGGATTTAGGGATTTCAAAAATTACTTTTATGCGTGTTTATAATTTATATATATAAGGGTGAGATTTTTTAAGGGTGGCAGTAGTCCATTCGCCCCCCCCCCCACCCCCTGGATTCTGATTTAAACATAACTATACAAATGGAAACATTTCTTAGTCCTTGAATTAGGACTTTACCTGGACTTCAAAGAGGACATATTTATAGACTTTAAAAAACGTCCACGGGGGGGGGCATTTTTTATTAGTGCTTCGTGTATTTAAATAGTTCAAACTTACTTGACCACATGGGAAGGTTCATGACCGGTTAAAATAAAAAATGTTGATTGGTAAAAAAAACTACGAGAAAGGGCGGTGTGAAGTTCACTGGAAACCTTAAAATATTTCTCGGATTTATTATATTGAGTAGATATTTATACCAAGCTATTAATAAAATTGATTCGACATTATCCTAAAAGTAATTGATGAAAGGAACAGAAAAAGATTGTTAAATTATACTCTCATTATGTCTTACTGTTTTGAACTATTTTTACTTTATGAAGATTGTGCTTGGCATGGCCAGAGACAAGTTGGAATATTCGCAAACATATTCGTGTCTGAAAATAAATAATAAAAATGTTTAATACAAATGCAAGAGTCACTTTTGTAGAGAGATTACGATTTAGAATAATTAGTTTTCAGGGTAGGCAAAGAGGTTAGACTAGAATCTCCTTATAATAATCAAATATGCAGTACGCTCTCGGTATAGTTCCCGGCCTATACAATTAGTAAATGATTAGCATAAACTATAACCTCGTTGAAAAAATAATTACAGTCCATTTTTGTTTTCCCTTGTATAAGATTAGATGTCCGATTCGTTAGACATTTTCTAGCTATGATTTAGCTGTGATCTTCCTTGCCTAGCCAGCCTGGGAAGTCGCAGCTAAATCACAACAAAATGTTTAACGAATCGGATACAAGTTTTATGTGAACATTACTCAACCTCAATAAGGAGTTTAATTAACAGAGGATATCATTTTTCGGAAAAGTTGTATAAAGTTGCTATTTAGAAAATTTGCATTGCGAAAAATAGGGTTTTGTGTTTTACTCTTTAATTAGCGTATTTAAGCGTTTGAAAATTTAATATGATTATAGAACCTCGCTCTGTATCAAGGGAGCATTGCGCCTCTGTCCAATCTGTCGTATTCCTGTGAGGGGTCCTGCACATGCCGCAATACAGGGGTCCGCTCTACACTTTACCTTAGATTCCAGTCGTACAGTGAATCCCGAACCGCTCAGGTTTAAGTTCCCTTTTGCGTACTTGTCAGTACATATCTGTACTATTCAGTATAAATCTGTACATGTTGGTACATATCTGTACTTGATAATATTAGTGAATTGGTTTCACTAAAGTGTCTCGTAAGTCGTAATTGAAGTGATTTTGAAGTTCAAAACAATCATCTAAAAGTTAAACGGTAAGTTTTCAATTTTCTAACTAAATAATAAAAAGGAATTTTCCTTAAAATTACATTTTTTTAATTTGAATAGTTTTACAAATTCTCCTTGTCCAATAATATACGTATACTGCACACCCACATATAGCTTTGAAAAAAAAGTCGTGACGTTTGATTTTGATCTTCATCTTCATCTTTTTCCTGCTTCATCGAGACATATTTTAAGCGTTCATAAACACGTATTATAAAATAATAATAGTTTATATCTATCTATCTCCCCCCTCCCCTTTTTTGCGAAATTAAACTTATATCTATATATTAATCATAATTATATTTGTCGAAAGCAAAATTACATTAAAGAATATAAAAGTTTACAATGTAATACAGGGTTTGATTGACAGGGTTAGCCCAAAACAACAGGTGCCTTACGAGACTTTTTACATAAGTATAGTTTAGTTATTTAGTTATTCAGAACATCTATCTATCTATCCTCACCCTTGTTGTCTAAAGTAAATAAATATATATACTATGTTTACCATTCCCATTGTTGGATCTGACATATGAGAGCTAACATATGACAAAGTGATGGACTAAACCTCTGTAGAGTAAAAAAAAGTAGATGTTAGTTCCACATTTATTGAAAATATATTTCGGTCTGGGTTGACCCTCGTCAGTTCTAAATTCAAAATGGATAAAAACAATTAAATTTTTTTTTTTAAATCCTTTTTATTACGACTTCTCTCCTTCCGTATTTACTGCTCTTTATTCAAATTCTGGGTTCAACATTGTTTCTTTTATTTAATACTACAGAAAACACTGGAAAAATAAGACGACTTTTAAATCAAGTTTTAACTTTAAAAAGTTTAATTACGACGAAACACAGCAATTGTTCAGTGTAAAAAGACCCATTTCACAAAAAAGTGATTTTGTAAGTTTCTGGTAAAACTATTTGCTTTGTAACACCATCAGCTACACTTAAGTATTGCTATAATGTCGTCATCCTATTTCATTTTTATCTGACTATCACTATAGCTGAAAGGCCTGGCGTTGCATTTGAAAAAAAAAATGTTGAAAAACTGAATTATTTTTTGCCTATACCATCCCCCGGCCACCCATGAGTGTTCACAAAAATTTCAGCCCAATCGGTCCTACCGTTTGGCCGGCTATACGCAACATGTATATGAATGTCTTGTTTTATTATATAAATTAAAAAAAGAAGAATTCAAGAATAAGCATGCCCTTGTACCTTTAAACCCTAATCATGTAAACCTTTGATATTTCAAACTTAGACTTATTGATTTAGTAGATTTCATCCAAGGTCTACGACATTAGATTTCAAAGATATAGGGATTTGAAAACAATTCCTTTGTTCTTATTTTCATAGACATTTTTAATAATTTTGAAAAATAGCTTTTCTTGAAATTTTCCAGTTGATTTCCTTCCTAATAGGTAAGAGCACTTCAAGGTGCTTATCTTCATATGATATATATACTCTGCTTGTCTGTCTGTCTATCTGTCCGTTTGTATCCAATAAACGTCAAAACGGCCAAACCAATCGGGCCCCAGGAAAGGGTTATGAAAGCTCAAAATTACAAAAATGTGTGTCAAAAAGTGTTTGAATTTTGTTAAATTTTAAAAATGCAAGAAAAAGTATAATCAATTTTTGTACACAGATGCTCACAAATCGAGCCACATCCATTAAAGGTTGAAATAGTGGATGGACGCGAAGCGACCTAAATGCCTAGTGATAGTTCCATTCCCTCTAGTTACAACTAAATAAATATTTACTATCAACCCCTCACCACTCCCTTACAAGGCCTCTACTCCCCCTCCTTCCGTTTAAACCTGCCACCCCCCCCCCTTTCCACCCTCCTCTAAAGCAGGTGCCTGGGTTCTAAATTTTGATATTTTCATCTACTGTATACTCTACCTTTTAAATACTAAACTAGCTAAAGGAAGCGAGATTTTGTCACAAACTCTACTTTTTAAAATTCCTATATCTTTGCAACCCAATGTGTAGACCTTTGATATTTTAAACTATGAACTGTGTTAGATTAAAACGTCTAAGCTTAAAATATCAAAGGTACTATCAGGTTGAGATTAAAAAATTTGATTTGTTTAAATAATATAAAGAAAAGTTTTGTTATGAATGGAGCATACAACCCCTTTTGATTAAGATTGAAGTAGGACCGGTTGGGAGGCTTTTTGTACTATTCGTTAGCGATGTTATTAAAGTAGGCAGTTTTTGTTATGATTTATATCTCATTCCAGAGGGATAAAAGTTTTTTTATTTCAAAGAAAATAATTTAAATAATTATTATTTTAAACCACCAATATTTTGGTGCAATGATATTAATTGTAACATGAGGGGGGGGGGCTGTGTTTCCCCCTCTCACCCCCGAAGTTAATAATGACCTTTTTAAAAACTCGCTTATATTAAATGAATTTGGTTTTTGTCCATTTTAAAATTAATATAATTTATAGATTGAAATATAAATATTTCTCTAATATCAGTGATAACCAGAAAACAATGGAAAGGAAGACGACGACAATATAGTTTTTTAAGACACTTGTTAAATCACCAATTAAGTGAAATGGGTCTGTTTACACTGCACAATTGATATGTCTTATGCTCATTCGACTTTTTAAAGTTATAAATTGATTCTAAAAGTCGTCTTTCTATTTCAAAGTTTTCTAGTTATTTCTGTATAACGGCTTATAATTCTGTGCATTGTACTACTGTAAATGCAAATTGTACATAAACACCAATATATGTAAATACATTATACAGTTGCAGTTAGCTGGGATGGGTATTCACCTAATTTACATATTTAGAAATATATTCTCTTTGCTGGGTAAACTTTTCTACCAGATTTAACTATACAATACACATTGAAAATGGGGCATGGAGGGGTGGGGGGGGGGGAGTGAGATTCATAGTAATACTTTAGAAAAGATAATTTATATCAAACTCAGGCGTACGTGTTCTGGAGAATCAACCCCCCCCCCCCCCCGCTCAACTTTCAGCTCAGATTTGTTTAAACCCGTGCCCAACATATATATTATATAATGAATTAGTAAACTCAAAATGTTAAAAGAATCTGAAAGTTAAATTAAGAACGAAAAATCGGCTTTTTCTCCGGCCACAGTTGTCTGAAAAGTAAGAGAAAAGTAAGTTTAGTTTACCCTGAAATTACCCAAATAAGTGAACGGTCCCTTTAAAAATTTTAGCAGGGAATGGATGCTTTGGAAAGAAAGTAAAGTTTTATGTTCCCCATTTCATACTTTTTTAACCCACAGTTATTTTCCTTGATTTTCCCCAGTTTAGCGAATAACCCCTTAAAAATGTCAGAGAAGACAAATTGCGAATTTTGTAAGAATGACCCGAAGCTGCTTTGATAAAAACACAAATAAGAACAAGACTAATGTCAGTGAACTGCGAAAACAGTCAACTTTATGTTCTACTATCTCTGCAATTCTGCTGAAGTTGCCAAAATAATGCAAAAATAAAGTTGTAAAAGTAAATCTAAAAATAATCTACCCCCACTCTTTCTCNCGGCCACAGATCGATTTAATACCCCCCACCCTAGTTTCTAGTACTGCTTAACTGCCTAGCTGCCTAACTGTGCCTTGAAACGATTTGTCTTTTCCTCGATTTAAGAACCTAGTTCAACATCGTCCAACAATCTGAATACAAGATAAAAATTCATTTATTTTCTAGATTGAAGATATTTCAAATCATTAATCTAATTGTCATTTATTCCAGTTTAAAGGTTCAAGAAATTGATGTTGTTTACATCACTTTATGTTCTTAGATTTAAAAGATTGGCATGTCCCATTCACAGTGATACCCTAAACATAATTCTGAGTAACAATGAGGAAGATATAGCAATGTATATGTATGTTCTAGAGAAACTTCAAGAGAAAAAGAGAAAAATGAAAAGGATTTTACAACATGAATGAAAAATTGGAATTATCTTAAAAATACCTTTATGTGTTGTCTTTTGTAGGTGTCATATTTAAGAGTAAAAAATTTACTTTTTTTCATAGAAATAATCAATTTTTATGAATGAATTGTGCAGTTTCATATTTTTATTAATATGAATATTTGGTTACAGTATACAGAAAAAATTCAATCTAATATTTTTGGAAATACTTCAGAAGATGTTATGGTGATTAATCCTATAGGTGTCCAATAACAAGTTTCTAATTGTTGGTCTTTGCTTAGAAATAATTAATTTATTTAATTAGTGAATATCACATTTAGATTTGAAATTCATAACTTCATTTAATTATTATTTTATAATTTTTTTTATCATTTAACAATTTTATTAAGCTAGTATGATTCGGAGCCATGAAATATTAAAAGTTTTAGAACGTAAATATTTACTTTAATTAATAATTTTATAAATTCTGTATTATACATTTCTATTACCAAACCAAATTCATATTTCATATTTTTATTCAACTACAAAGCACGAGATAATACAAATAAAAAAATCACAATTTACTATGTAGTTTGGACCCGCCTAACCAGAGTAGGTTGTTTTAATTGGTTGGCCCACTATAAACGAATGAGAATTGCAGATAAAAACAATGTATTTATTGATTTATCTAAATAAAAATAAATATTTAAAAATTAGTGAATGGAGACTGAACGAATAAAATGGAGTTCTTTAGCATCTTTGCATTTATTTCAAGTCTCTTAAGAAAGCTTTTTTTACAATATTTAAAGAGGTTAAAAAGTTAAAAAGATGATTATACATATATATTTAAATATCATCATTAAATCCACCGTTTAAAATATTAGAAATATAAATTTGCCATATTAGGAATTATCTTTTAATTAACAAAGTCCAAAAATGATTCTAAAAATTTCCAAATATGTCTGCGGATCAAAACTAATTTGTTGATTATTATTTTTTAATGACAAATCCAATTATATTCATATTTTTTAAAAATAATATAGAACCTGTTTTGGTTAGGTACTAATTAAAGCATGACTAACCATGTAATTTATA